ATTAATAACTTGCCATCAGTATATCAATTAAAACTTGAGTGATGTTCTGTTTGCTCTGTAACATAAGAGAGCAAAATTTCATGTCATGGTATTAGAATGCCGAAATTAGTGTTCAACATCCTGTCCCTGGAGAATCTTTAATTCTATGGTTTCCCTTAACCTGAGGAAATTAGTCCGGTGACAATGGGGGGGGGAAATTGTACAAGATTACCAGGTCATACAAAACTCTGGCATGTTCATCAGGCATGGATGTTAAGTCAGTTTAGAGGAAGAAATGGGATTATGAATGATCTCAGAGCTGCATCTTTCAAGGTGCTAAAGCTGAGTTTAAGAAGATGGTGGAGGCAATTTGAGCGATCATAGCAAGTCCACTATGCCTAAAATATACCCTTAACCAACCAAAGAGAGTGAAGAATAAAAACAGAGGAGTCAATTGGATCCATTGTTCTTAATACTCTCTGGGACATTTATTATGGATAGCTAGCCACAAACAAATAGCCGTGGGGACTTTTGGCTGTGGGAGATTTACCCTTTATTTTCTGTAAACATGGGGGGGGGGGGTCATAATCCAATCTTCATAAAATGCTTGAAACCAGTCTTCCCCACTTTAGTACCCTCCTGGGGTATTAGGAAATAGCTCTCATCATCCCTATCAAACTTATTGGGCATGACAGGAGTTGTAGACAACACATCTGGAGAATATGAGGCAGAAGGGCTGCTCCAAACCATTGTACCACATGCATTCATATTTAATTCTCAACTGGCCTGTGTATGTCTTCTTTTCATAAATAGAGTGTTGGGAATGCTAGATTTATGCCATAGCATGATATGCCTTTGAATGTTTTCCTGTTGTTGTATCCCTAAATGACCCTAATCAGCGGGTCTGTGAAATTCATTCACCATGATTTCAGCAGTAAAGAGTACTCAAAAACCACATTTGGAAAATTGTTCTAGTGCCTCAATATTCTGGCAGTATTAAATTATGACATTAATTCTTCTGCTCTTTAACTAATGAAAAACATGTTCTCTTTTTTCCTCCCCTGCAGCATAAATCTGTCTTCTTGCCACAAAAGTTAGGCTGCTGGGCCTTTCCTATTAAGCCGTTTTTCCTTTTGTTCTCTCTCCCATCTCAGCTATACAGAGCTTTGAAAAGGAAACCCCTTCCTTCAGAGGCACACAAATGCCACAAAAATCATTTTTCAAAATAATAATAAATCCCTCAATTTTCTGTCTCACTCAGCTTAATTTGGAGTTTAATATTTCTTTGTGTCTAACCTGGATTACAGTGATTTAGTTTATTGAGATAACAGAAGAATGGTAGCAATTGACTTTCTTTGTGTAACCTGCAAAATATGTATTCAAAACAACCCTGCTCCTCACCCAATAATGATGTCTTCAACACACTCAGTCCTCATACAGCAGAGAATTTACTTGGCAGCAAAAGGCAGAAAAACAATCTCAGAGGTTTGCTGGCTGATGGGAAAATGAACCTTCTTCCTTCAAACTCAGAGGAGCCCTCAAATGACAACACTCAGACTTCCAGATTCAGGCCTGTAGCGAGGGGGGGGGGGGGGTTAGGGGTTCAACCCCCCCCCCCGAAATGTTTCAGATTTTTTTAAAAAACCTGGTTTACTCATGAATTTTAACTGGTTAACCAAATCCCCATGCTAAGTCTATGAGATGCAAAAAATTACGAGTCCCTCCAGAACTGCAAGTACTATCTCAGGCAAATATTGACAATTTATTCACACTGTCATTACTTGCAGCAATAGCTGATGTAGTGAAGCAACCAAGTTTGGGGGGGGGGGGTGTTGAATGCTCTCATTAAGGAGGCCAGACTTGGTGGAGGTGGTTGACAGGGCGGAGCTGCAGGCTATTGAAAGCTGCTCTGCCCCCTGCTGTGCTCTTTGCTTCAGCGTGAGCTAGGAGGCAGGTTTCAACCCCCCTCCCTGTGAAATTTTCTGGCTACAGCCCTGTCCAGATTCCCTGAGTTAAGGGCACAGGACACCCATGAAAGTGAAAAACAAATTCATTTTTTAACCTGGGAGAACCCCTTTTAGAAATGTCTTAAGTCTGCCATAATGCTAGTATCTAAGTCAGAGCAGATCTGAGTGACTTTATCTGCAAAATGATGGGCGAAATCACCACATTGAGCTGCTGAGTTGTCAAGAGATGCACCCTGAGAGTCAGGGTGAAGAAGTCCCCTGGCCATTCAAAACAGCTCTGCTATTGACTGCAGATGCAATGCAGGCAACCAGGCATGTAGCCAGGGGGGGGGGGGCTTGGGGGCTTCAGCCCCCCCCCCCGAAATTCTCATGGTGGTTCGCGAAAAGGCCTTACTGGTGCATTATTTAAAACTGTTATGTTTATTCATATCATGATCTGATCACCATACTCAATATATCCCATATGCATGGGGGTATTGGGGTAATGATACAAAAGGTTTGCTAGGCTAGACCCTCTTTCACTCAGACTCAGCCCCCCCCCGAAACTCAGCCCCTCCCGAAACCCCCCTGAAAAAAAATTCAGCCCCCCCCCCCCGAAACGAAATCCTGGCTACGGGCCTGCAGGCAACTGAGTGAGCCTTCTTGTCTGTCTTCACTACTGTAGAGTAGGTCCTAAGTGAGGCTCTAGCCCAGTGGTTCTCAATCTGAGGTCCCCAGATGTTTTTGGCCTACAACTCCCAGAAATCCCAGCCAGTTTACCAGCTGTTAGGATTTCTGGGAGCTGAAGGCCAAAAACATCTGGGGACTCCAGGTTGAGAACCACTGCTGTAGCCTTTGTTCAGTCAGATTCATCCCAAATCTTCTGCTAGCAGCCCTCCAGTATCCATCTTGCTTGTTTCATCACCATTAGCTCCCCGTTCAACCAGGGAGCTGAGCAAGAGGGGACCTTCAGGAGCAATAATGTCCACCACCCTGGTCATCTCCTTGTTCCAGAGATTGACCAGAGCTTCAACAGCATCACCTGTCACCATGATAGGAAAATCCCCAAGAGATATCAGGAATCCATTTGGATCCATAAGTCTCCAGGGGCAGACCATTTTAATTGGTCCCCACCTCTGCAGGGTTTAGGCGCCCGCCACGGTTAATCTAAACCTGATCAGGTAATGATTGGTCCGTGACAAAGGAACAATTGAGAGTTCCTCCACACTGATCTCATCATCCCCTCCTGTTTTAAAAACTAAGTCCAAGGTGTGTCCAGCTACATGAGTGGGCCCAGCTATAATTTGGGACAGTCGCATGGTTGTCATGGTAGCCATCAAATCCTGAGCTGCACCTGACAAGGAGGTCTCGAAATGGACGTTGAAGTCCCCTAGCACTATAAGCTGCAGGGATTCCAACGCCAGGCCAGAGACCACCCCTGCCAGCTCAGGTAGGGAGACTGTTGTGTAGTGGGGTGGGTTGTACATAAGCAGAATGCCAAATCTGTTCTGGTTATCCACTCTTCGACAGACACACTCAAATGTGGATGATTGGAAGATGGGGCACCTGATCAGGGAGATGGTATCCTGATAGACCACTGTGACTCTGCCTCCCCTCTCCCCAGGCCTAGCCTTTTGATGCACCCTGAAATCTGGTGGACAGAACTGGGTGAAGTTTACTCCCCCCCCCCCCCAACTTCATCCAACTGGTCTCAGTAATGCAAGCCAGGTCTGCATGATCATCCAGGATCAAATCCTGGATGGCCGTTTTCCCCATTTATGGATCTGGTGTTTAACAACAGGACTTTAAGCCCAGGAGGCCTGTCATTTTGGCTATCTGGCCTATTTATTGTAGGGTGAAGACAGTTCAGAGGCACAAGGACTCTATGGCTCCACCCCTCCCCCTATGAGTGCCTCCTGTGAATGACTTCTATTAGGGCACCCAAACTCTGGAAATCCTTTCCTCCATGGGCACCACATGACACATTAAAAAGATGAGAAGGGTTCGACATTATACACAGGCACATTGATTAGTAGGGTAGTACTTTGGTCCTACTGCAGATGCTGATAATAGGTTATAGCTTCGTAGTTACATCCCCCAAGAAATGTTTTTATGATAGAGCCAACAAAGAAATGACAGCTCCCACAATTATGCACACTTTGCGGAGCACACTTTGAATCATAGAATCATAGAATCATAGAATCAAAGAGTTGGAAGAGACCTCATGGGCCATCCAGTCCAACCCCCTGCCAAGAAGCAGGAATATTGCATTCAAATCACCCCTGACAAAAGGCCATCCAGCCTCTGCTTAAAAGCTTCCAAAGAAGGAGCCTCCACCACACTCCGGGGCAGAGAGTTCCACTGCTGAACGGCTCTCACAGTCAGGAAGTTCTTCCTAATGTTCAGATGGAATCTCCTCTCTTGTAGTTTGAAGCCATTGTTCCGCGTCCTAGTCTCCAAGGAAGCAGAAAACAAGCTTGCTCCCTCCTCCCTGTGGCTTCCTCTCACATATTTATACATGGCTATCATATCTCCTCTCAGCCTTCTCTTCTTCAGGCTAAACATGCCCAGTTCCCTAAGCCGCTCCTCATAGGGCTTGTTCTCCAGACCCTTGATCATTGAGATCCGCTGCTCTAGATAATCAGAGGCATCATTTCTCCAAATATCTTGAGAACATAGGCTACCCAAAGTTAGGATGGATCTGACCTGGCTCGATGCCATGGAATCCTGGGAATTGTAGTTTGGTGAGGCACCAGCACTCTTTGGTAGAGAAAGCTAAATGCCTTGTAAAACAAGAAGGCACGCGATAGTGACCTGACAGTTAAAATGGTATCAAACTGCATTAATTATATAGTGTAAATGCATCTGCTGTTTAATAATGGATATTGTATTGTTCTAAGTATATTTGTACATTGTCCTGGTATGTGTAAAATGAAGGCATTTAAATGTTTAAATAACAAAACAAATAGAAAGCACATGGAAAGAATTTATCAAAACACACACTGGGAATAATTGAAAGTGAATGCTCTGAAATTCCAGTGCTCAGTTTGAACTTATAAAGTAGTCTCTACTTACCTGAACATAGAGCTCCCTGAGTTCATACTGAAATTTCTTTGGATCTGTGGTAATTGTTACAGGACCAATTTCTGGAAGAAAAAGGAAATGAATCAATCTCCAAGGACACCCCAGAGAGAGTTAACAGATTCAAAAGAATCATGAGATGTTGACATGAAACACCATAATTTACCGATAGCCTATAAATGATGACATGTCAGATTGCCTTGTTCTGAAATAATGTCCTATTTCGGTAGGTCAATAAAAATATTCCCCCAACTTTGAAAATACATTTTATCTTTCAACATCCTTTGATTTTACCCAGTTGAATTCTTGAAAAACAAAATATGGCAGATTAAATTTTATTCACAAAGAATATCAGGCATGTCAGCTACATTATGATGCCCCACAAACAAATAAATGGCAAAGATCCCATATATTCAAGATTTTTTCCCTGAGCTCTGCAGTTGTCGCAGCTACAATTGTGATGCCCCCTTTCTCCTGCACATGTCATCACAGGGAAAAGGGATTGTGGCACTGGCCCATGTGGACAGTGGACTGCTCCACATCGGATCTGGTTATGTTGTCCACATCATGTTCAAAGTGCAGGCTGCTTTTGATTTTTGCCAGAACTACAGAACATTTTCCAACTTTCCTCAGCAAGAGACTAAAGCAATCCAGTCCCCCTAACACCACATTAAGAACTAGTAATCATTGGACATCATATAAACATCAAAGAATGACTTCTGAATCAGCACAAGGTGGTCAGTGAAGACAAGCCCCTAAGACACAGAAGGAACTAGGTAAGTTCAGGTGTAAAAAGATATCATTGCACAGTGTTAGCTTGAGTGTACATAACTACTGAATTTGTAAAATGCTTTGGTAGCCCTTTTGGCTGAAGAGTGGGTATAAATACTCTAAAAATGTAAATATCATATTTCAGTAGTAGTATGGTCGTAAAAGCTTGACAGAGAAGAAAGCTAATAAGAAGAAAATCAACTAATTTGAAATAAAGTGTGAGAAGAGAGTTCTATGGATATCATTGTCTGCCAACAAAATAAATAAATGAGAGAGCAAACTCACTGGATGACCATGGGCAAGTCATTCTGCCTCTGCCTCATCAGGAGACGAAAGATCTTACCACATTGCCTAATGGATTTATCACACATTGTGACAAATACATAGAGTTCAGTCGGGGACGTGGGGGATCCACTGCCCCATGCCCCGCAATGCCTGACTTACCTAGGACCCATTCCATGGTGGGAAGTGTCCACCACATTGTTCCAAAGACAGAATGGGAACCTCTCATGAGGTGCCATACACATCTTGCTCTCCCCTTTCAGCACAGAGCCTGACTGGAAGGAAGCATGCATAGTTTAATGGGCTCCATGCTGAAAGGGAAACAAGCGACCTGCAATGGGCAGAGTAGTTTGTCTGATGAGGTCAAAAGGCAAGCTCTTGCTGAATAAATTAAACACCATGATAGGTTTACCTATGGTCACCACAACAACAATCATATCTTGTGGACATTAGGGCTGGGCGATTTCGTTCGTTAATTTCGTAATTCGTTAATAATTCATATTTAAAGTAGCTTACGATCTGATATTGAACCATTCAGGAGCAACTAAAAATCGAAACGAATTTTTTAAATTTATTTCGTATTGTTTCGTAATTGTTTTGTAATTGTTTCGAAATTGTTTCGAAATCGTTTTGTTATTATTTCGTTATTATTTCCGTATGTCTGGTGCAAGTTTTATAGTTGTTGTTTGTTTTATCAGTGATAAAAAAATAAATTATCACACCAACAGTCAACAACAGAGGGAGAGGGAAGCTTCAGAAGTTCCCCCTGTCCCATTTGGAGGGTTGTTTAGCGTATTGCGCAATCTCGTCCGCCATTAACGAATCGATTCGTTATTGTTTCGAAATTGTTTCGTAATTTCCGAAATTTCGTAAATATCAAACTTTTTTAAAGAAAAATTTCGGAATTCTTTTAAAAAACGAAACGCAAAAACCCCCTAAAAACGAATTGAGTTTAGAAACAATTTTTTCCGTGGTTGCCCAGCCCTAGTGGACATAGGATGACTCATTGGAAAAAATGATAATGTTCAGTAGAGCTGAAGGAAGAAGGAAAAGAAGAAAAACACAACACGGACAGATTATTTCAATAAAAGAACCCATGGCCCTGAGTTTGCAAGATGTGAGCAGACTGAGTTGATGACTGGGTATCACTCACTGACCCTCTTCTCTGGGAAGAGGAACCAGAGAAGTCTCAGCTTGCATCTTTAGAACGTCAAAACAGTCTTGCTACTTTCTTCCTCAGCACATTTAGCAAAGTTAGAAAATCCACTTCAGTAAGAAGTAGTTGAAGCTAGTGTTAACAGTTCTCTGGTGGACAAAGCGATAAAAAGTAATCCACAGTAAAAGGTAAATCCAATTGATTAGGAAGTAAAAGAAGCAATTAGTCCAAAGAGAAATAGTCCAAAGAAGTCCATGAAACTTGAGGCTTGATTTCAAAGGCAAAATAACAGCAAAGGCACTTAAAACAGGAATCAAACAAAGACAAAGATCCAGGAACTTGACATGAAGAATTTATTGTGAATCCAACATTGCTTCGCCTGAAGCTACATTCAGTACTTAGCACTTATATCCCTACTTTGTTTCCCAAACAGCTAAGAACAGATTTTTCCTTAATTTTGATTTCACTTTGAGCTTCTGCTCTAATCTGACTGAGTGCCTTAATTTCTGATTTGTCTTTGCTGGCTAAAAGCACTTCTTCTGTTCAATTCTTCATTAAAATCTGCACCTGGAGATAACTGACCAGGGGACTGTGGAGCAGAGCCTTTCCAAGCTCAAGACCTTGAGAATCCCTTTGCAGCAATACAGGCCTCTCTAACCCATCAACTGGACTGCATACAGGCCCCTCATCTCTAAAACCAGGCCTGGGAAACAGACCACCATCCCCATTCCCTTCAGGAACATCTTCATGGACAGCATCCCCATTCCAATCAGAGGAATCAACTTGAGCATGAACAAGTTGATTGTCATTCCCATCTTCCAAAGCAACCTGATCATTAGACACCACATTGTCGTTCTCATTATCCAAAGCAACCCGATCATTAGACACAATCACAGGATGAACAGGCTGACATACAACAACTCTGCGCCCTTCTACACTGCCATATAATCCAGAATATCAAGGCAGATAATCCACATTATCTGCTTTGAACTGGATTATCTGAGTCTACACTATCATATAATCCAGTTCAAAGCAGATAATCTGGATTTTATTTAGCTGTGTAGGAGGGACATCTTGGAGGACTCTCATCTATACATCTGCTATAAATTGAAGTCACCTTTTTTGCTTACAGATGTTTTGTATTTTTTATGATGGGAAAGAATGTAGAGAATTGCATCCTTTAAATCTAGCATATCTAACAAGTGATTATTTTAAAAGTTTAAAAATTTCATGTAAATGAAAAGTCTTTTTCTTAACAGAAAAAAAATATATTAATCACACAAACTATGTGCCTGGTTTTTCTTTCTGCACCAGATTTCAATATAGCTGATTTCAATATGTCATTAATTTGTTTGTTCACACTGAAGAATGTTAGAACTTTATTCTTTGGTTGCAAAACTAAAGGATAAATATCAATCATCTAAATTAGTTTTGGGGATTTTAAAACTTCTTTTTCAAAAATACCAAATTGATTGCATATGCAAGAATTTTTTCCCTAAGCCATACTTGCATGTCACTGAACAAGGCCTTGTCTTTCAAAACTGAAAATCCACAAAACTGAAGTTAATGCAACCAAGATGGTGTTTAGGATGGTCCCTAAGCAACTGACCAAACACTACTGCATAACACTATCTGCCAACAGATTTGACAGCTCATAAGAAGCTGATCCCTTCCACCCAAAACATACATTGAAACCTCAGTAATAAACAAACAGTAAATGATCTCAATAAATAAATCTCTATCTTAATAAACTGACAACAAATTCATTTTGAGTGTGTTTATGTAATTCACAGATGCCATCGTGGCATTTATATTGCTTGGCCTAATGAAGTGAACCCACTTCATTAGGCATATATTGTATTGATGAGCATTAGCAAGCATTCATTTGCAAGAAACTAACACTGGGCTCTTCCAGATGAAGCTCAAAACCAAATAAAATCTTGATGTGGCTCACCAGAAAAAGCTGAGAGCTACAACTGTACGTATATGCTCCACATGCAAAGTTTACTTTAGATAGTCTTCCCTTTTTGTCACAAGGAGAACAAACTATAAGGTGGAGCAGAAAAAAAATATGAACAGGAAATAAGAAATTCATTCACTCCTACCTAAGATACCTAGCAATTAAAAGGGGTCTTGGTCACAGTAGTTCTCAACTGAAATCCATTTTCAAAGTATCTGCATGAGGAGTATTAGTTTATCAACTTCAATAGGTCTACTCTAGTTGGAACTAACAACTAGACCTTTGCGCAAGAATTAATATAATTCCTAGCCTTCCTGGGGTAATTTTAATTACTATTCTTTGCAAAACACTGTCCCGCCACAGCAGAATAGGCAATAGGCAACAAAATGTAGGCAAGTATATGTTTTTGTCCGAATGGATCTTCTAGAATCATAGAATCAAAGAGTTGGAAGACACCTCATGGGTCATCCAGTCCAACCCCCTGCCAAGAAGCAGGAATATTGCATTCAAATCACCCCTGACAGATGGCCATCCAGCCTCTGTTTAAAAGCTTCCAAAGAAGGAGCCTCCACCACACTCCGGGGCAGAGAGTTCCACTGCTGAACGGCTCTCACAGTCAGGAAGTTCTAATGTTCAGATGGAATCTCCTCTCTTGTAGTTTGAAGCCATTGTTCCGCGTCCTAGTCTCCAGGGAAGCAGAAAACAAGCTTGCTCCCTCCTCCCTGTGGCTTCCTCTCACATATTTATACATGGCTATCATATCTCCTCTTAGCCTTCTCTTCTTCAGGCTAAACACGCCCAGCTCCTTAAGCCGCTCCTCATAGGGCTTGTTCTCCAGACCCTTGATCATTTGAGTCGCCCTCCTCTGGACACATTCCAGCTTGTCAATATCTCTC